TCTCTACAAAAATAAAATAAAATATTTAATCATTTTTTAACACGTAAAATATAAATTAAAAAATATATAAATTTGTCATATAATCTCACATTGCTCAAATTTATCAAGTTCTTTAGGATCCTCGTCAAAAAGTATAGAGAAAGGTGTTCCTTTTAACCAATCTTGTGTACAAACAAACACTTCCACTATTTTAGGCGTTAGGCAACTACGATAAGGACTAACCACTCTTCCTCCTGTACTGAATGCACACTCTGATCGACCTTTACTATTTTCAATTGACGATGAATCGATATAAGAAAGTAAATGATCCATTCTAGAAGTATTTAGTGTGAGGGTTTCTATCATTTCTGACATTCACGTCACTACATTAATTAAGAGTTCAATCAAACAAAAGGCAAATTTATCTAAATGATGATGATGATATAGGGTCCGAAAAAAAATTCAAAAATCACATCACTACATTGATGAAAGTATTGTGATAAACTCTGAAAACAAATTCAGAGTTTATAAATATTAAAATAGTAAACAAAAATAGACCACTACTGACAACAAATTCGAAAAACAAAAATAGTAAACAGAAAGAATTAATCAAATAAATGGACATTTATTTATTTGATTGAAAATATCTACCTGCAAGGACAAGAGCTAGGATCACATTTATTACATATTCATAATAAGAATAAATATTATTAATATTTTTGTTTTCAGCCAGTGAGTTTCTCTTTGAATGAAGAGCTGAAAGGTAAAGTTTCAAAGTCTAGTTTTTGTGCTTTCTCAGGAAACTTTTTACATTCCATACTGCATTCAAGTCTCATAACTCATTTGCTTCTTATTTCTCATTCTTTAGAATATTTGAAACTTTATAGTAACAAACTTGCAAGATAGTTTTTCTATGAACTAATAAACATTTCATAACCAATAAACTTTTAAACCAAAATATCACTAACAACTAAATTAGTATGCATTAATTATCTTACTAATACATAATTATCAAATTTTGACACATGAAAACAATATAAAAAATCTCACAAGTTGTCATTTCCGTTAGAAAGTCTCAAGACCTTAAACGGTCGCAAGACTTGGAAATTTCGAACATAATACTCGTCCTTTCTTTTTGAAAATTGCTAGCCATCTTCACCATATAAGACTTCAATATGAAATAAAAAAAAGAAATGAGAAAATTCCATAAACCTAAAAATTGAGAAATTAGTTTGATGATAAACTATATTTAAGATGTCATTAAATTATATAAAAACTTCTGTAAGGAAATGGTTTTAGACCACCGTACATAATTCTTATTGGTTTACATATAACTCTCACTGTTTTCCTGAGGGTTACAAGACATAATCCATGAAGTAAGAAGTACCATTTTTTACAAAGATCATGGATGAATGATTGAAGATAGAGTTGACAGTGAAAAGGGTAAGAAAAATAGAAAAAGAAATACTCAAACACACACTAACTGTGTTTGTGTTGTGTGAAGTGTGATAACCCCAACAACATTTAAAGCTACAAAAGAGTAAGGACGCGAAACCCGGGAAGCAACACAAGTGGTCAGACTGGAACACTACGTGTGAGTAGTACAACACGTGGGAAGAAAATAACGTGTAAATTTATTCCGTCTAGTATTTTCTTACCCCTCGTAAAAACCCCACATGCCCTTTTCCCATCACCTCTTTGGTCCACACCCTTAACCATGGTTATTCCTGTTATTACTTTTCCACTCACCACACTTTATTCTGGGTTAGTTTATTCAGCAGACAAGGAGAAAGCTTCTTCATTTCTCATATCTGTTTACCCTTCTGCACACACTGTCTTCTACTACTACTACTATACTTTCTACTTTCTACTTTCTACTTTCTTCTAGTAGCATAAGCAATTAACATAGCTACTTTTTTTTGCTACTTCTTTCTTTCTTTTTTCTACTGTGGTGGGAAGAAAATAACGTGTAAATAAATTGGAATGACACTAGGCGGAATGAATGGAAAAAAAAGGAAAGTGAAAATAGTGCAGTGCAAATAGTTAATTGAACTATTTTTTAGTTTAGTTCAGTTTTTTTAAACTATTTTATAATTAATTGTAATGGATTTATAGTGCAGTGTAAATAGTGTAGTTTGTCCACTCCTACCTATCAATAACCATCCTTACCTATAATTCATATATTAAAATTAATAATTATGATTTGGTTTTTTAAATTGAACGTTGTCATTAGCTCTTGGATAGCAAGGAATTATTTAGAGTTTGAAAGATATTTGATTCCTCTGTTAGTCTGTGATAAAAATAGACAGGTAGACTAATATGCAAACCTAAATTTCAAACAAATTTATTCATTAGTGTTTGAGCCACTAATAATTTCGAAGAAATTGATTTAGGTTTGAGCCACCTCACTTCAATATTGAGCAAGCTAACTTGAGGCATTTGGATCTGAATTGATTTGAGTTGACTTGGATTTATGCTAACTTGATTTCATCTTAAATCAATTTGAAAAGAGTTAGTTGGATTTGAACTGACTTGACTTAGACTCATACTAACTTTACTCTATTTTGGTCACTTGGTTAACATGCATCAACTTTGATTCACTTGAACATAAGATGACTTGACTTGTTAACATGCATAGACTTGATTCCACTTGACCATAAGACAATTTGACTTGAACCCATATGACTTAGCTAAGTTTAAAAAAGAAAAAAAAAAAAAAAATTATTAATAGATTATTTAATAATATATATATATATATATATATATATATATATATATATATATATATATATATATTTCTTTCTTTTTGTGTATACAAGACAAATATGTCAAACTCCATTATTGGCTCTAGAAATCTTTATTAACATGGATATTAATCGAAGAATTTCTTGGCCTGTGGTGGAACTTTTAGTTCTCGAATGATTTGTAAATTTTTAAAGTAGAAAAAATAATCATATGCATTATACAAATATTGTTTTTCAATCAGGATTAGAAAAAATTATTTCGATCATTTTTCAATTATTTATTATAATATATTTAATTTTAATTTCAGTCTGTATTGTCTTAAAGATCAATCTAACTTTGATTTGTATGCCCATGAAATTCAGTGAGAAACATTTTGGACATCATATGGCGACACAGACAAAGTTGTTGGTGGAATTTTAAACCAGCATTAGGGTTCCTGTCACAGTCTCAAGTCCACACTGGCCTTTACCGTAGACTAATGAAAGGAATCAAAATATCGTTCAAATTCTAAATAATTCTTTTAACATACATGCTATCCAAGAGCCAATTACTACGTTCAACTGCTAAAACCAAATAAATATTTTTAATTTCAATTTATAAATTATATGTACGTTGTAATTTGAATGCGTCAACCTGCATATCAAGTGGTTATATACGACAAATCTCTGAAACTTTGTGGCTCTATAAACCTCATGAACACGGATATTAACCGAAGAATATTCTTTTCTCTACAAGTCTATATATATGTGCCTGCTGTCCTAAAAAGCACAGTTCACCGTTCATTTGGCTTTGTGAGCGACCGACCATATCAAACAAGAAAGGTAATAATGGTGATTCTGTCATCCCGAGTGAATCCTGTATTGATTTCTTTCATTTCTAGTTCTTTACTCTACTTGTATGGAGCTTGATGTAAAACTTTGAAGCGGTAGAATTAATTTAAGTGTCAACTACTTTCTTTATTAAAGAATAGCCTTAATCTTTGGTTGCAGGTCATAACAAACCACATATGCATACATGTATCAAATATTAATTACGCTTACAGCTCTAACATAAAGTATAGTTGTTACAGTTACATACGATGAACGTTGAAGACGAGCAAAGAGCCGAGACAAAAGGGTGGAGAAAAGGTCTGAACAAAGTAGGGAACTGGCTGGCACAAAAGGACAATGATAATTGGTTGAAGGACATTAGGGGTAACCTGAGTTTGGTGGCTACGGTAATCGCAACAATAACCTTTCAAAGTGCTCTAAATCCACCAGGTGGCGTTAGACCGCCACAAGAGACTGGAGTAGTGGCTTGTTCAGAAGGGATGAACCCATGTCCTGGAGAATCTGTCCTGGCTTATTCAATGGCCGAAGATTACAGAAGGTTCCTTATTTGCAACACTATATGCTTCATATCATCCTCAGCTGTTTGTCTCTGGCTTGTTAGTGGGCTCACTCTAAGCAACAGATTTTTCAACTGGCTTTTGTCAATAGGCATGTGCGTCACCATCTCTAGTCTCGCTCTTACCTACATGTATGGTGCTCAAATGGTCACCGCAAACCCTGTTTGGACCACATCCATCTCCATGTTTGGAATTGTTATACTTGTGTGGTTAGCACTGCTGGGAGTCGTCGTTGTTGTTCATAGCCTGCGCCTGTTCGTTTGGATTCTCGCTAAACTGATTGGCAAACCTAAACAATGAGATATTCCATCTAGGTTTATCCTAGGTGATCTAGCCAAATTAATAGTGAAATATCAAGATAAAGTATCTGGTGTTAGTATTTGGTTTATTTACTTTTTCTGTAATGTAGGCTTCTTGCCCAATTGGCCAATGTGTTCGAGATTAAGGAGTTTTAGTTTCAAGTTCCTTAACTTACAATCATCAATCGACAATCAAACTTTTAAGATCAGAATTTTTTTTACACCCATCTAACACTATCTCGTTACCATTTGTCCTATACAAAAGTTTACTTTTGTGAGACCATTTTACCTCTATAAAAATTGTTCAATAATAGTCAATTGATGTCAAAGGATCTTTTTTCTTCTATAATTTCAGTGTTTATTGACATAATTTAAAAGTGATTTTTTATACTAAATGCATCACTTGAAAATTTTAGAAATATTTTGATAATTAAAAAGGTTAATTTTTGTATTTGTAAGAAAAGAGCGAGATTAAAAGATAAAAAAATAAGTATAAAGTGAGTAAAAATTTGTTGGGTGTCAAAACATAATTTACATGCCTTTATGCATATCCTTAAACATATATAAATAAAAATAATAATGTAACAGCAACTTCGAGAAAAATAAAATAATAACTGATGGATGACGAGACTAAACTCTAAAAATGCTTCAAGTTCAATTTGGCCTATAAAATGTTTGAATATGCATGTAATTGGTATCCAAAATGCTTTGGAATAAGTTTGGATGTTAAAGTCAATGATGAGGAAGAATATAATGGATTTGATATATGTTAAAATCAATAATTAGTATTCTCTTTTCACCTAGTAATGGGAATAGTTAAACTACTATATAATATGTTATTTATTTTCTTAATAATCCAATTGTTGGATACTAATACATTATACCTTATGTATGGAGTTTTTGTTTAAGTGAGGGTATTAAATCTTACATTAACAATGGAGCAATATTTAATCAAATTCTTATTATGGACGTAAAATTATTTATAAATCTGATTAAATAACACAGATTTCTTAGAGATCACGATCTTCTTGATATTGAAACAGCATGGTGTGTGAGAAACATTCAAGTTGGCAGAAAAGAAGATGTAACAGTACATGATAAAAGGAAAGGAAGAATTTTATTTAGCTTTATATGGTATTTAGAAGAAAGGAAAAACAAACTTATGTAGAGGATAAGAAGAAACAACTAACTAAACAGAAACGTCGCACAAGCGCTACGTCGCACAAGCGCTATATATTCAGCTCTGGGCGCTGTGATACGTAATCAAGCTTTTTCCTTACTGTCAAAATATGTGTTTGGCACAAAGGTAGACAGCAATTTAAATAATTAAAAGTTGGTTGGCAACATATGTAAACGAACACAAGGCTCCACTCGGCAAAAAGAAAGTCTTCCATCAAATATAAAAAGTATAATTCATATTATTTCAAATATATATATATATATATATATATATATATATATAATAAATAAATAAAAGAATCTTATAATTCTTTATCTATTAAAGAAATGATAATTATATAAATTATAATAATATTTAAATTATAGTCAACACAATATTTAATTATTTAATATTTATTAATAAAATATTTGACATATCTTAACAATCACACTCAAGTTGGTATATGGACACATTCCCAACTTGAATAGAGACTTGTTAAACAATATGTTTGACACTCTTTTGGTGAGAACATCAACCAACTGCAATTCTGATCTTACAAAAGGAAAGAAAAATATTCCAGCTTCAAGCTTCTTTTTGATAAAATGTCTATCAATCTCCACATGCTTTGTTCTATTATGTTGCAGAGGATTGTGAGCAATTGCTATAATTGATGTATTGTCACAGTACAAACTCATAGTTTCATTTAGTTTAAAGCCCAAATCTGATAGCACATTTTTAATCCACAAAAGTTCACATACACCAAGTATCATGCCTCTGAATTTTGCTTAAGTACTAGACCTTGCTACTACAGACTGTTTTTTACTTCTCCAAGTTACAAGATTCCATCCTACAACAATAAAGTATCTAGACATAGATATTCTATAATCTTTTGAACCTACTCAATCTACATCAGTGTACCCTTCTACTTTTAAGTTTCTATGATTTGAGAACAAAATTCCTTTTTCAAGAGTGGACTTCAAATATCTCAAAATCTTCTTAACAACATCCATATGAAGCTTTTGTGGGTCATACATAAAATTGACTAACAAAATTTACTACATAGGTAATATTTGGACGTGTATGGGACAAATAAATTAGATTTTCTACCAGCCTTTAGTATCTCCCTCTATCTATGCTTGCTAAATTTGAGCATTGAAATAGTTTATGATTTTGTTCAATTGGTATATCAACTGGTTTACTCCCAAGAAGCCTAGTTTCTGATAATAAGTCAATAATATATTTTCTTTGGCATACCATGTTTTGATCTAGCTACTTACCCAAAAAATATTTGAGGTTTCCAAGTTGTTTCATCTCAAATTCAGATGTATGGTATTATTGCAAACTACAAATATCATGTTGGTCATTTCATGTAACAATCATATCATCTATATATATAATCAAAGTTGTAATTTTTCCTTTTTCTCTCTTCCAAAATAAGGTGTGATCAGAGTTACTTACTCTATAGTCAAAAGCCTTCATAGACTTGGTAAACCTTCCAAACCATGCTCTTAGGGATTGTTTTAATCCATATAGAGTCTTCTTTAATTTGCAAACCTTCATTCCAATTGAACCTGTCATGCTTGGTCGAGAATCCATATAAATTTCTTTTGAAATTTCTCCATGTAGGAAATCATTTTTCACATCAAATTGTAGAAGAGGTCAATCTTGATTTGCTGCTAGTGACAGAAGTATTCTCACAGTGTTGAGCTTGGCTACTGGTGCAAACGTTTCTTGGTAATCTACACCATAAGATTGAGTGTAACCTTTAGCCAAAAGTCATGTTTTATACCTCTCACTAGTTCCATCAGCTTTATGCTTAATTGTAAATACACATTTGCAACCCACAATTTTCTTCCCTCTTTGTAAGGACACAAGATCCCAAGTGTTGTTTTTTTCTAAAGTTATCATCTCATCAACCATTGCTTTGGGCCATCTAGGATCTGCCAAAGCTTCCTGTATATTACTAAGAATAGAAATTGAAGATAATTGACATACGAATGATGCATATGACTGGGATAACCTGTAAGATGACACATATTTACTAATGGGATATTTAACTTTGGCTTAGAGGTTTGGTTCATATTTATATGGAGGTTGACCATGATTAGAATGGGGTGGAAGATTATATTGAATAGTAGTAGACTTAGTATTTGGTGTGTTGGTGGTCTCACGCAGACAAGAATCAATTTCATGATTGGTTTCATCTAAATTAGTATTATCAAGGGTAAGACCAAGAGAAATAATTTCATTATTAGTTTCATCTACATTAGTATTATCAAAGATAGGATCAAGAAGGTACCTATGAGGAGTCAAGTCGAACCGGTGGAACAGATTGAGCCAATTGATTATGATCATAAGACATTATATTATCTTGAAAAGAAGTGTCCATATCTAGGATTAGCTCACTTTCTGCAAAATGATCCTCACATGATAATTTATCTACACAATATAATTTTATATCCTGTGATATCAAACATATTAACATCATGATTATGCACTTCACTTTCGTTTCCTCCTTGAAGTGTAGAATCAACATAAAAAAATTCATGCTCATTAAATGTCACATCCATAGAGATATAAAATTTCTTTTATGGTGGATGGTAACCACGATAATCTTTTTGAGTTGATCCATACCCAACAAGAACACATGTGATAACTCGTTCTTCAAGCTTTGTATGTTGATGTGGGTGCAAGTGAACATATATAACACATCCAAAAATATGAGATGGTAAATGACCTATGGAAGGAAGGATACAATGATCAAACAACACATCTAAAGTCCTTTGAAAGTTAAGGTCACTAGAAGGGGTTCGATTAATTAAATAAACTGTAAAGCTCACAGTCTCACCCCATAAATGAGATGGGACATTATCATATATCAAAAGTGATCTTGTCACCTCTAATATATGTCTATTTTTTCTCTTAGCCACTCCATTGTTTTGTAGTGAATAAGGACATGTAGTTTGATGCAAAATTCCTTTAGAGTTCATGAACTTTATTAATTCAGTCTTCAAATATTCCCCTTCATTGTCTGATCGAATGACCTTAATAGATGTGTTAAATTTTCTAACAATCATATGATGGAAGGAATGAACCACATCACACACATCACTTTTATGTTTAAGAAGAAACATTACCCTAGTACAATCATCAACAAAACTAATAAACCATTTTTTCCATTATGTGCAGATTGTGGGGCATGACCCCAAACACTTGTGTGAATTAATGAAAAAGGAAAATCATTTTTCTTATTGCTTAAAGGAAGCACAACACGATGACATTTTGCCTTAACACAAGTTTCACAAAGAAAATCAAAAATATTGAATTTATTAAATAATGATAGAATTAACTGTTTTACATAATCAAAAGAGGGATGTCCCAACCGTCTATGACATAACCAAAAGTTTCCTTGTTTTATCTTGTATGTCATCATTTGCAAGACAAGCCAATGCTCCTTTATGGGTTTGTTGTGAGACATTTTCAAGATAGTATAGTCCTTCACTCTCTCTACTACTAGCAATGTTCTCCAGGAATGGATGTTTCGGAAAAGACAATGGGTTAGATAAAACAAGGCAACACAAGAATGTGATTTTGGTTAACTTGCTTACAGAGATAAGATTACAATTTAATATATGAAAAAATAAAATATCAGGAATCGAGGGTGAAAGAGGTATAGTACCTACACCTTCAATAGGAGATGAGACCCATTGGCATTAATAATAACACTTTTAGAACAATAGGGGGAAAAATAGTAAATTTATGAGGATCACAAATCATATGATCAGTAGCACCTGAATCAATTATTCAATCACTACCCCTAGTAACAACAGAAAGATTAAGAGCAGAGTTAGATATATCTGACTTGGTCACAAATCCGACAACAGTAGAAATATGGCTCTTAGAAGTAGGGGAAGTTAGAGAATCATGTTTCCCAATTGATTT